CCCCAAAACCCCAAAACCCCAAAACCCCAAAACCCCAGATTTTAAATCTAATATAGAGTTAATAATATTAAAGATAATATGAATATTATTATCATTGCTTTAATAACAGTCAGCTTTGCTACAGCCAATGTATGCCAGAACCAAGCTGCAATGATTACTGCTCCTATTTCAGGTGAATTTGTCATCCCAGGAGCTAGCATATCATACTTTATTGACATATTTGAAAACCAAGAAAGTGGGTTTTTGTATTTCATTGGATTCTACAATCCAGGCTCATCTCCAGATAAAACAGTCATCTATAAGTCAGATTATGACTTAGCAAAGGTTAAAATTATGACCTATGACATTTATTCTGTGTACTTTTCATTTACTATTGATCCAAATGAAGGCACCATATATACTCTAGACCGCACTACCAATAAAATATTGGGGATTAGTACTGACACCCTTGACGTCATCAGAGAATTATCGATTACCGGAGCAACAGTGAGTGGCAATTCACAGATTGCTTGGAATGATAAGTTCTTTTTTAGCTTACTGCTAAACTCAGTGATGGAAACTTGCAGATGGGATATGGCTACACCGAATTTAAATTGATTTAACTTTGGTGTAGATTCTTTTACTAATCTGGCTCCAATAAGCTCAGATTTATTATTCTTTGGCTCAGTTGACTCTGTAAACGACAAATACTATATGATCAATTACAATTTTTCAACTACTCCCAGCATAGTTTGGCAGAAGAGTGTCTCATGTCCAACTGCTGGATGATCTATCAAACTTAGTAAATCAGCGGTCAGTCGAGATGGTCAATCAATTTTTGCATTTATCCTTTATGATGATCATTTCTTATTCTATATGCTCAGTGTTGTAGATGGGACTCCAGCAAGCTCAGGTTTTATTTGGAACAATGCAGGATCTAATGTGTACTCAGTTAAAGAATTTGATCAATTTATTGCTCTTCAGATTCTTAGCTCGTCATTTGCTCCAAATTATACAAGGCTAATTCTGATCGCATCTGATGGTCAAAGTATTTTCAAAGAATACAAAAACTCTGGAGCAAGTTCATACAATGCTTTTCAATATAAATCAGGAGAAAATGAATTAGTGTATTTTCCTGGCATCTATAGACCAAGTGGTTCATTATATTTCGCAAGAGTATTGACTTCCGAAATCGACCGCCTCTCCGAATTCACAAATGACACTCTCATCTTCACTGCTATTACCACCAGCTATACAGCTTCAGTACCCACTAGTAATCCAAGCTTAACCTCAACCCCTCGGACTCTATCAGTATCAAGTTCTAGCTCAATCACAAGCGCAGACCTGACCTCGTCCATCACTCCTTCGTTCTCTGCTTCTCCCGTTTGGTGGAATGCCGACCATGTTCAATCTGTGCAAAGCAATTCTCTGGTGAAGCTTGATTTTACTTGGGCTTGAACTCATTCAGTTGATTCTACTGTTATTACTTTTACCTTGGCTCAGACTGGAACCAATTCTATACCTGATTGGGTTGAAATTGATACGACCAATCAAGAACTTTACCTCAACAAGACTCCGAAGCTTAGTGTCTCACAAACGTATTATTTCTCATTGCAAATAACTTACAACAGTGAAACTGAATTCAAAAGATTCGAGATCACTGTTGAAGGATGAAGTATTTCAAGCTGTGAGATGTGTAAATTGGGAGACCAAACCATTTGAGATAATTGAGCCAATGGTTTCCAGGTTTCGAATGACAATAAGTCTTGCAGCAAAGTTGAGACCGAACCTGAGACTACCACTGCTTCGAATTCTCAAAGCACCGCAGCAGCCACCGGTTTGGTTGGTTCAAGCGCTGCTATTGCTTCTGTATCTTCAATTTTATCTGGCTCATCAATTAGTTCATTTTTTAGTGTAATGAACAGCTTGCAGTTAGCAATACTGCTTCCTCTAATTCCAAAATATTTTCCCATTGATGTTCTTGCTTTCTTAAAAGGAATGAGCTTTGCAATGTTATCATTTGACTTTATCAAACTGGAAGAGATCCCATTCGTTGAAGACATCACAGAGTGGATTGATTATCCTCAACCTGATGAGTACCTAGGGAGTATTGGAATGAGTTCAGGCAGCTCATTGATAAACTACCTGTCATTCTTGGTATTTATTTGATTCATTGGAATCTGACACTTGTGAATAGTTTTGTGAAGAGGATGAATTCTCAAAACAAAGAATAAGAAATTGTCAAAATTAATGGACAAGCTTTTCGAATTTTTCACATTCAATTTATATTTAAGAATACTCATTCAGGCTTATTTATTTACAATTTGGTCAATCTTCTCTGAAATATATGCACTGAATCTGAGCACCGTAGTCACTAAAATATCTTTTGGAGTTTGAGTAACTCTTACTCTGTGTACAAATGTAGTTCTCCTTCTTTCATTGTTGGTATACTTCAAATCTTTTCCCAAGATTGATGTTAAAAAGTATTGGCCATGTATTGAGTTCTTTAGTGGAGTCAAGGAAGGTAGATACTCTAAATTATACTCAAGTCTGTTCTTGTTACTCAGACTTCTATCAGTTTCATTGCTCATTTTCGGAAACTCTCTTCCATCTTCATATAAAGCAGCTGGCTTCCTATTGTTCAATGGTGGATATGGAGCCTATCTGCTGGCTGTCAGGCCCTTTGAAAATTTGCAAGACAACATTATTGAAGCTATCAACCAAATATTGTTTTGCTGTTTGATAGTTCCATTGATTTGGGTTGATACAGAATCTGACTGGAATGCTTCTTATGAATCTTATTTCACTCGAATCCTACTACTATCACCTGCAATAGGATGAGTTATATGCTTCATATTTTTGATCAAATCAATATGAACTCTATTCTGCAAGAAAAAGAAGCCTGTAAAGATCCGTATACCCAAAACCATCGCCCCAAAGAAAACTGATTCAGAAGTGCTAAGGTCTCCTCGTTTGAAAAGGTATAAACTCAATAAGCGTGAAGAGCACAAAGAGTACAGGGGCTTCACCCAAGACTTAAGCCAATCCTTTAAGTCGGGATATTTGGTCAGTAAGAGCAACGCTTCTTTCTTGCGGTCTAAGGTGACCCATGCTGATGATTCTTCTACATTCCAGAGGAATGTTCAGGATCCCAGAAGAGTCTTACAAAGAGAAGAATAAGGCTGGAATTTAGTATTAAAAGGATTTCAATATGATAGCCAGCATGTGGGGTTTTGGGGTTTTGGGGTTTTGGGG